CCTTCATCTAAATCGTCCTACTTTCGACAAAAAGGCAACAAAATATTTTTATTCAATAATGGTGCATACATTGTACAAATCGTGGCCGTTGGCTTGAACTGCTCACTTCAAAGCCTATAAGTATTTTGCCGCGAATCACGCCGTCATTCGTGCCGCAACAAGGACTTTTCGGCGAAATTAGGTCCAATAAGGATCTCTAGAGGCTGTTCCGCTTGCAGCATTCGTGCCGCAAATCGCATAATCAACTCAAGATAATTGCGTCGCGCGTGCTGCAGTTCGGCCGCCAAGTCCTACTTTGACCTGATTTCAATACAACATGTCCATACCACCAGAGAGGCCCGATACGCGCCCGTGGCTCATGATATCTGCACATCTGCACAATTCGACTACAACGACGATGATGCTAGTGTTTCCACTGCTAGTAGACAACTTGTACACGCCGATTATCACCATTTAACATCAAATATTCACAATCACTCTCAGGCGTTGATCTCCAAGGCACTGACTAATTCGACTACTGCGAACACGATACAACGATTTCCAGATTATAAAAGACAACCTGTACATCACTACTCAAGTTTTCGCTTTTTGGATGCGACGAAACATGATTCCGAAAAAATTATTAGCTTCAACAATATGGCATCGCAAGTGCGACATTTTCGCATATTCCCGTTGGCGTCGACTTCCCGAGTAGCTTGCGACGTAATATTTTGGAGATTGACCATTTAAGATATGCTGAGTGCGAATGTCATTGCGACTTAATTTAAACTGCGCTCTGTGCACGCGGAACGCGCCCACAAAATGACTACACCAGCAGCCAGAATGACCACAAAGCCGCACCGCGCACAACATCACACCATTCATGACGTACAAGTATTATGCATCGAAGATGAAAACAGGGCTAACTGATTCATCCTGCCAGCTCTGCTAAAGGCAAATCCAAAAGGACGGCTGCTGCCACGTGAGCCGCGACTTCGAACCCAGACAGCACCAAACTCTTTTTCGATTCTTATCAGCGTTTAATCAGCATTTTGAGAGAATATACATACAATAATAAAATATTTAATTCATCCTGCCAGCTCTGCTAAAGGCAAATCCAAAAGGACGGCTGCCGCCACGTGAGCCGCGACTTCGAACCCAGACGGCGCCAAACTTTTTTTCGATTTTTATCAGCGTCCAATCAGCATTTTGAGAGAATATGCATACAATAATAAAATATTTCGCAGCAACACAGAATATATACAGTGAAAACAAGCGCATCATATCAACGAAAGCATACATATATCAGCTAAAACAGAGATATAATGACAGTTGCGCCGTCGTTGGGCCTTATACAAGTTGCAGATACTTATTGTAAGCCAGCAAATCGCATTGACACTACATGCAAAAATTTACAATGATGATAATGGCGAACAGCCATGCACAAAAACATTTGGAACCACGGCTTCATTCAATATTTCGTTCCAAATGCGATATATGCACCACAATACTTCTGTTTACACCAAGTAATGGACACTACGCACTCAGCTATAGCGGCTGGGCCATGATCAAGCCAGCACGGCTGTTTAAGCCTTCAACTCGGCTGTTTCAAAAATTCTGCACACTCGCAGAGCGCCTTCCAGTTGTTTTCAGACATGTCATTAGGAAGAGAAAATGTAGACATGACAGATACAAAGCTGTTTCCAAAATTTTATTGAAGGGTCCGGTCTCTACTATGAGAACGGTCACGAAGAATGGGTGTTTATGGTAACGTCGATCCCGCGCCATGACGGTCGCTTTTTTTAGCAAACTGTCGCTGAGATCTACGATGAAGCACGCTCTTGACGTCGTATACGAGCTCCCTAAGCCGGTACGAAGCTCGGTGGGAGCGTATAATGCTCCACGGGCCTGGTCAAAAGTGGCCAATAACCCCCCGTTGCATGAAGGACACCGATTGACGACTTTATTATTAATGCATCGCACGGGTATGCGATCTTGGACGCTCGAGATGTCGTGCATGAGCTCCCTCAGCATTTAGGAGGCTCAGCGAGGAGCATGCATCGCTCTACGATGTTGATCAAAGGAACCGTTTCTACGGTCAGCGAGACCTCGCAGACGCTTCTGTCGTCGCGATGCAAATGACGTTGGTCGTGAGCCCCAGCGCTACCTTACCACTCACATATAAGCGTGCTGGAGTAGCTCCAATACTCACTTGCTTCGCTGCAGGCCATATCGGCCAAATCGGACATCCACCGACATAAACCCACTGGCTTGGTACGAGTTAAACGCGTTTTACCTACGCCGGTCGCCGTTTTATTGGCATGCACTCCACGTAGGTAGGAGCACGGTGGAGCCCCATTTATTTATAATACTGGGTCTCATTCTCATTCTGTTGCTCGTTCTGGTTTGCTGTGTGCTTGCAGGGAAGACGAAACACTGCATCAATGACGTTGTATTCAATATTTCTGTATAATACTGGTAGGAACCTCCTGGTTACCCAGCCCACCAGGGATTATTTGCCTGTTTGTTTGTTTGTTTGTTTGTTTGTTTGTTTGTTTGTTTGTTTGTTTGTTTGTTTGTTTGTTTGTTTGTTTGTTTGTCCCA